ATCCTGAATTTCTCATTCTTGCCTCTTGGTCTTATCTTTCTAACACCAACTTTGATTGTCTCCGTAAGAATCTTAACCTCCAATGAAGGTGAAATTTTACTTTTTGCCCCGACTTGTGTTTATTAAAGCATTAAAACTGTTTACCCAACTGGAAATCGTGATCTCTGCTTATTTCACCTGTTGAATCCTGAAGCCGCCATCTTTAAACACACATCCTCCATGAAAACTTTCCAGTTTATAATTTTATAAATTAAAAACTGATTTATGCACTTTTTTCTTGGAAACTATTTTTAAAACTAATTAAATTGTATAATTAATCCTGTTATCTCACTAAACATTCTTTGAGAGTTAATCTAGACATTCCCAATTGTATCTAGAACAGTCCTTGGCACCCAGAAAGTGCTGCAGAAACATCTGAATTAGGTTATTTTGTTTTCAAAATGCAAACACAGAAAGGCAGAACTGACCCTCCAGTAACAATGTGGCCCATAGTGTTAGGAAACTGCATTCAGAATGTCTTTGATAAAAATGTGGTGATGGCTTTAATAACTGTATAGAGGCTGCCCTTGGCCTCTTTAGCAGTAGAAAAATAACAAAGAATGACCAACAGAAATATAATAGCAAGTGTGTGTGGCCTCAGATGGCATGATCACGACAAGCTGAATGAAGTTGATGATGTAAAGGACAAATAGCTTGGTTAGAAATTATCTCCAAAATGTTTGTAGTGAGACAAAAGCTAAATCATTAAAAATCTGTTGTGTCACTTCAATCCTCCTGTTCAGACCAATGAAATAATTTTGAGTGTGGTGTCCTGTCGCAAGAAATTTTACAAGGTTAAAACTAGGCACTGGCATAGAACTTTGATTACTTTATGTATGTAAGTGTTCGTTCATTATGGTAATTCAATTTTTGGTTATTAATTTCTAACAAATCTTATCTAAAACGTCTCTTTTGTGCACTCCAAGTATAGGATGCCTTTTGTCACAACACATTAACCTGGAAAACCGTTGATATTTGCCAGTATAAGCTGTGTGATTGTCTGCTGAATGATGGCAGGAAGGAAGCCCTCAGTTTTATTCTTATTCTTAAGAGAAAAGTATAGTTTATTTTATGACAATACATTAATGCCAGAATACAGGAGCACAAATGGGAGGAAAAACCCTTACAATTGCCTCTTTATTTACACACATCTACTATGCTTTGATCTGAAGTTGATAAATGTTAAGATCTTTCATGAAATCTGTCTTTAACTTAAAATACACCCAACCGATTGTCTAATTCTCACTTACGTCAAACTTTATCTTTAGCTACATCTGCTGGAGAATGTTTTCCTTTCCCTACTGAATTCTCAGGTAATTTATGCACTTTTTTCTTGGAAACTATTTTGCATGATAGCAATTAATTTCAAGTGAGCCTAATTGTGACTATACAATTTAAGGGTAAACCAAATATTACCATCAATCTATGAGAATAACATTATGGCCGTCACACTTCCCCTCCTCAGAACTTCTATATCCTGGTCACATGTTTGGAGAATGAGTCTGCAGGTGAATCAAGATTTTTCCAACTGATCTCAAATCCGTCTGCTCTAGGCATCCCTCCCATCCTTTATAAATATCCATTTTGTTGGTCAGTTAGTGTAAAAACATTTAAAGCATCCAGGAATTTCAAGTCCCAGTGAATCTCATAAATTAAGATATAATTCACCTGAGGAAAGAGAAAGATTTTAAAACCACTCCTCAGGATGGTAAAACCAGTACTTGGAAGAACAGAGGGAAAGACGTTGCATTATGTCCTGTTTGAAAATAAGCTTCATTTGATCTCTTAAAAAAGGAGCCTAAGTACATTTTTACCTTTTCATTTTGTGTTTTAAAAACCGTAAGATTTTCACACCTCTCTGTTCTGCATATTTAAATAAAACTGTTCAAAATACCACTTGCTTTGAAAACCAAGTGCTTGTTTGAATGGTATCTACAAGGAATGTCGATAGAAAAACATATTTCATGTTTGTATCAAGTTTGTTTCCACTTATAAATATTGACAACATTTTAAGCCAAGTTAATGAAACACGAATGATAAAATCAAGGCTATATATATCAAGCATTTTTAAGTATTTTTTTTTTTTTTTTTTTTTTTTTTTTTTAGTCATGCTCAGTTACACTTGAAAGAATCCCCAAATCAAAACTGCCTTGGGAAAATGAGCAGGACATAGCTCAAAACAGGAGAAGAGGCATTCCACATTTTAGGGGTCTTTGCATCTTCTTGAGTACTTCACCTTTGATTTTTCTCTAAATGAATGGCTACCCTAAGAATATCACTCACGACTCAATATCATAACAATGAACGCACGAATTGCCTGAGCGTGAGTATGTACATGGCCAACATGTAATGTGGCTCTGCTTTCAGTTAAACACAGTGTTGGTGGATGGTGGGCGTTACTGTTCAATTCGTGTTTATTTTTTCAAAGATTTATAGACAAAGCAACAAATGGAGCTGGGAACACACAGTAAACTGTAAAACAAAAAAGCCCCATAGATTTCAGAAATCAGAAGAAGAATCATGCTGCAGCCTCACAGGTATTCACTAACCAGGGAAAGTTATCCACTAAAACTAGAATATCCCGTGCGCAGGTGATAGCTTTCTTCTCAAACCTGAAGACGGACCGTGGTCATCAAATTCTTCATCATGACAATTGCTCTTGGCAATGGAAACAGTTTTTAAAGGTTATTGCCAAGCTGACTGTGGTGATTATCCAGAAAATTAGGTCGTGACTATTGAGTTCCTATAAACAGGATTTTAACGACCAAAGGCTGCAGTTAATGCTCCCCTTAACAAGAGGGACATTTTAAAAACTGTTAGCTGATCTTTCCAATCTAACAAGGGTACAAGTGAATTTTTCTAGAACTAGGGTATAAATGTTTTAACACAATAATTAAGTAAAGGACACAAAGTCTATGTTAACCAGTTGGATGACAATATTTCAAATTGTATGTGAAAACACTACACTGTACCCCATGTTTACATTAATGTACACAGCTATCATTTAATAATAAAAAAAAAAAAAACTGTTAGCTGACAGGCTTTGCCTACACTGAGACTTTACTTGGAATTTTATCTACTCCTGTCTCTAAGAATTTAGAGAGCTCCCATTCTCATCGTCACTAAAGATGCCTCTTAGAAAATAAAAGTCACCTTTAACATGATTTTTGAGGCTGCTTCTATTTTCTAGAAAAAAGAATATTATAACCATTTCTATTATAGTTGTAAAACTAACAGGGCTGAGCACAGTGGCTCCTGGCTGTCATCTCAGGAGACTGAAAGGGGAGGGTGTCTTGAGGCCAGGAGTTCAAGGTTACAGTGAGCTATAATTGTACCATTGCACTCCAGGCTTAGTGACAGAGTGACACTCCATCTCTTTAAAAGAAAACAAAAAAGAAAATTTGCCTGGTTTGGTGACACCCACCAGTGTTCTCAGCAACCTGGGAGACTGACACAGGATTTGTGGATCTCCTGGTTTTGTTCAAACCTGGGAGTTTGAGGCTGCAGTGAGCTCTGATTGTGCCATTGTGATCTAGCCCGGGTGACAGAGTGAAACCTCAACTTTAAAAACATGATTATATAGAAAAAGATATAAGCTGACTAGGTCTTGAACTTTGAAGCTAGAAAAGGTAACACCTGACACAGGATTAAAACTGTTTCTCAGAAATTACTGGTCTAAAATTGTTAATAATACACATTGAAGACAATATTCTAAATGCAATCTGACCTCAACTTTTCAGGTGATAATTTTTTAACCATATTAGTAAATATAACCACTGTTTTTCAATGCCTTAATATTTTTGTTAAATTTCTTTTTTTGGAAAGATTCACTTGTACCCTTGTAAAGAAAAAAAAAATTATGAAAGAGTCTGGGCGGTGGTGCCTGTGGCTCAGTGGGTAGGGCGCTGGCCCCATATACTGAGAAGGGTGGATTCAAACCCAGCCCTGGCCAAACTGCAACAACAACAAAAAGATAGCTGGGCATTGTGGTGGGTGTCTTGTAGTCACAGCTACCTGGGAGGCTGAGGCAAGAGAATCGCCTAAGCCCAGGAGTTGGAGGTTGCTGTGAGCTGTGTGATGCCACAGTACTCTACCAAGGGCAATAAAGTGAGACTTTGTCTTTACAAAAAGAGTTAATTTAAGAGTTAAATTAAGAGCTGTCACAATCTTGTAGACCATAAAGAAAAAAATTCATAATTTATCTCTGCATTTAATTTGTTTGGTAGATTTGACATTTCAGTGTTAACTTCCTCATACTTTATAAAAGCTCTGGGGCAAGGTGGTGCCTGTGCCTTAAAGGAGTAGGGTGCTGGCCCCATATGCCAGAGGTGGCGGGTTCAAACCCAGCCCTGGCTGAAAAAAAAAAAAAGCTGTGGGGCAGAAAATAAAATGGTTTTAACCTAACAGTTTTCCTGATTTTTTTTTTCACTCAGCTTTAAAAAAAAAAACAACGACCTTGGTGGTTTCATCAACTTTGCAAATCACCACAGTAAATGTCACTGCAGCTCTGTTTAATATTGTGTCAGAAAATGTACTGGGTTCAAGAGAGTTAAAATCAGCCTTTGCAAAAGTCTTTCATGATTGATAATTTAAACATAAATCAATTTCTTCTTGGGAGTAAAACTTGGAAATAAATCCAAGAATATCATGGCTTCATGTTTTTAAAAACTGTATTCCTAACAGGGCATACAAATAAAAAAAACAAGAAGAAAATTAAATTAACACTCTTTTGTAAGTGAAAAAAATTACTACATAAAAATTAGATAGTAGTCTCACATTGCAAGTAATGATAGATTATATTTAAATACAATATGTATTAAAATGATCTCATCTTTAAAAATATGGATTATGTTAAACAACTGATGTTAAAAAATATGGATTATGGAAATTACAAACTCAAAATATAATAGGATGTAAGTTAAAGAAAATTAAAGTAAAAATATACAATCATATTTTAATATACTGCATTTTGCACTAATCACTTGCATGTAAATTGTAAAAGTTGTTACTGTATTTACCTATGAAGGTCTTAAAATAACTGAGATACCATTCAAATTCTAACCATGGGTTTCTTTGCATTTTAAATTTAAACTTCATGTTACTGAAGTAGAAAAGATTATATTGGATTTAGTGACACTTAATGACTTTCGTGTATGAATTGGAAATTATAGGTAAAGGTAGCCAACCCAGTAAACCAGATTGAACAGGGCAAAAGCTGTTGGAAAAAATATTCTGGAATAAGAGTCAATTTTGGCAATGCGAATGTGTATCCTCCCTTCCCGCCAAGATCCTGTCCTGCAGTCTTCAAAGCAGCAGAAGAAGCTGGCACAATCTTTGCCCTCCAGACACTGATACCCGTAATCGTCTTCTCCTTGGGGCACGGAAATGCTGTTCATTGGAATCAGGGTGGATCCGGCATGGACACCAGGGGATGTCTGAACAAAAACGGAAAGGAGGTTTTGAGACAAACGTAGTGCAAAGAAAGCTCATTTTGCCTCCTCAAGACAAATTTGGGGAAGCTTATAAGGAATAACAGTAATTTCAGTTTCTAAAAATCAAGTATTTGTAATTCTAGCCTGACTATAGATTATAATTTACTTTGTAACATAACTTCCAAAAACTATGCAGACAAGAAATACCCTTTAGAAAGTTGATCCACCAAAATGTTATCAACCAGGAATCTAATTCTAAAATGAGAATGAGTTGTCTATTCCTGATATTTTCAATAAAACACTTACAATACTATAAATATGATATTTATTTTGATAAAAATCAGAAACAGAAAACATTTGGATAATGTAAAGGTTTGAGAAGCTACGACTAGACAGTTTGTAGGGTTTGGAGTAGTGGAGAAGCACAGGCGTCCTATTTGGGAGAGAGGATGTGAAAGACTTAAAAAGCCTCAGATTCGGGAACAACGAGTGTTCAGAATTCTGCTCATTTTGTCAAAGAAGCTTTCCATAGGGAGACGCCTGTGGCTCAGTGGGTAGGGTGTCAGCCCCCTCCATGGAGGGTGGCAGGTTCGAACCTGGCCCTGGGCCAAACTGCAACAAAAAATAGCTGGATGTTGTAACGGGCACCTATATAGTCCCAGCTACTCAGGAGGCAGAGGCAAGAGAATTGTCTAACCCCAGGAGTTGGAGGTTGCTGCGAGCTGTGACACTACATCACTCTCCCGAGGGCGATAAAGTAAGAGTCTGTCTCTTTAAAAAAAAAAAAAAAAAAGCTATCCATATATCTCAGATTATTTTAGCATCTAATTTTGTGACAGCTGTGATGAATATAAACCATACTCATGGGAAATGTTCAGTGCACCATCTTGCCCAATAATAATCGCTTCTAATATTATCAGGATTATTTGGAATACATGTCAGTTAATTTATTAACTTTTTGACTCCAGGTTCTGAGTAACACTTAAATAATAGTAACAATTTTTGAGAGTACTATATATCAGGCAAAGCCAGAATACTATGGAACTTTAAGGTAAACACAGCAAAGATGATCCTGAGCTGAATTCCTAGCTTTGCCTGGCAAGGTAGAGTAAGAATAAGCTTGAACAGGACAGGTGACTGCTCTCTGCCTCTGTGACTTACGCTGTACAAAAATTGGAATCAGAGGCCAGGCCTGTAATCCTAGCACTCTGTGAGGCTGAGGAGGGAGGATCCTTGAGCTTAGGAGTTCTAGACCAGCCTGAGCAAGAGCGAGACCCTGTCTCTATTTAAAATAGAAAAATTAGCCCAGCGTCATGGTGGGTACCTGTAGTCTCAGCTACTCAGGAGCTAGGCTAGGCTGACTCCATGGCACTCTACTCAGACCAACAGAGTGAAGTCTCAAAAAAATTGCAATAACAACACTGTAGATCTCTTTCACGATTAAGTTAGATGGCTCACATAAGGCACAAAGAAAAATATTTGAAGCATATCACATATTCAGCAGCCAATTGGTAACTTTCTTGTTGGTGCAATGGTGACTAGTGATGTCTAATCAGGATGAATCACAGCTGGCCATTAAACAAATGCTAAAATAAACATACAAACAGTAATAGTAGCAACAACAATAGAAATCAGGAGCTTATCAAATAATATTAGAGATATTAATGAATGGTTGAATAAAATAGCAAGTAAAATCTGACTGAGGATTGCTGTTTGTCATTCTTGATCCTTCAGAATTTCTGTGTGTTTCAAGGGTTATCTTATATGCGAATCTCACAACTTATTATAATCGCTGGTCTCATTATCTAAACATGAATTGCAATGCTGAGTTTGTAAACTTCAACCTGATCTTAAATTTATTCTAATATAAACGTTTCTATAATGTTTTCATCCTAAATTTAAAAATAAATAAATCTCAAAGCCACAGAAATGAAACATTTTATGGAAAATATTTCAAAAAGTAAACATGAAAACTAAGAATGTCTTGAAATTCAAACCCATTTTATCTCTAAAAGGAAACATAGAATTTAAGTCACTAAATATTAAAAATGTAATAAATGCAAAAGAAGCAAATAATCACATCTGGCAACATTTTGAAAAAAAAAATAAGACAAAAGCATCATGTAGGTCCCAGTATTTATATTAGAGACAAAATGTGCAGCTTGAAGACTGAGAGAAATTCCCCGAACACCAGGAAATTCACGACTGCACTTGCCCAGCGAGATCGCAAGAAGCAGAGGCAATGTGTTATTAAATTCTAACGACAGTTCTTTTGAGGATGACACTTGGGGATTATTGACTAGACTCCTAAATTTTAATACAGCCTTAAAATTATGTTGAAAAAGTGAGAAGAACTGGTGTTCATTTCCTTGTCACTTCATACTTACACAGCCTCTGTTCATGCTAAGCAGAATAAAAAAATGATGAAAACAGAAGTTTGTTCACGGCAATGTAAAGGCCGTCTGGTAGAAGACGCACTCTGTGTGTCACTCAGCACTGCCATAAATAGACATACTGTGTGTGTGTCAGGGGGTTTCAACTGTGCATGAGAGGGAGGATTAAATGTTAAAGTGCATGAAAATAAAGAAAAACTTCAAGTGGTTCATTTTATAAACGGACTGATCTCAAGGGATCAATATCACCGAGAGCCTCGATGGCAACGAAATCTTAAATTGATGATTTTCCAGTTTCTTGTGCCCTACCCTCCCAGCCCCCAAAATAAATTTAGAGAAACTGCACTTCAGTATATGGTGAGCAGGAAAGAACTTTATACATTCTGAGAAAAGTAGCCTAGTTTGGACATAATACCAATAAAATAAAATACTGTTGACACATGGATTTCTGACCCGGAGACCGAGCAAAGACCATACACAACCCACACTTTATTTATCTAAAGTGAAAATCAACTCCTCATCCTACACTGAAGTGTAGACTTTGCAGTTCCCCCAAGGCAGACATGTAAAACATAAAAATAACTCAGTTAGAGCAACATAAAAAGAAACAGTCTCATTGAATGAGATAGTCTTCTACCTGTGTGAAGTCGTTTGGAGACTATACCTTATATATTATTTGAAAAATCAATCAGGATGTAGCTGCACTTAAATTGTGAGAAATTGATTCCAGTCTCACTATTAAACATACATTTTCGTCCACTGATATATTAAATAAAGTATATTTATAAACGAGTAATATAGTTAAACATGTAAAATATATTTTCAGCACCAAGATAATAGTCATGTCAAATAAATATTCATAATAAATATTAAATATATGTATGTATTTATAAATACTTATAAATATAAGTATAATAAGTATAATACTAATACTAATAAGTATAAGTATAATAAGTATAAGTAATATAAGTATTATATATTATATACTTATAAATATAAGTATTTATATATTAAATATAAATATATAAATATTTATACTGGTAAACACAATATAATTATTATTTATACGTATGACGATATCATTAAAGTTACTGAATAATAGTAATACAGTTAGCAAATATTATTGGTGATTTTATTACTATTATAAAATACAGATTAATATGACTAATTTCCCATTTGAAATGGTGCACAGGAGAATGCCAAACCAAGCACTGGTTTTCTCCACCTCCTCTTTTAAAAACTCCGTCTAATTGGGACCTCGCCTGCTGTGCATAGTGCAAGAGGACATGTCATGTATGTTAAGAGTAGAGTATAAATGTCAAAACAGCAATTAAATAAGTGAAGTAAATAATATGTTAACCAGTTTGATGTAAACATTCCAAATTGTATATAAAATCAGCACATTGTACGGCATAAATGCAGTAATGTACACAGTTGTGATCTAATTTAAAAAATCCATGTAAGTATCATTTGAGAGGTTCAAAAATTATTGAATCCACATTGGTGTTAAAAACAGACCGGAGGTAGGCCTCCGTGATGGGACATTACCAATCAGCATGTTAGAATTTGCGTTAAATTTCTAGAGTGCAAAGAGCAGATGGAGATAGGTTGAGGGATAAAGTCGACCAAAGGAAGACTTATCTCAGAAATAAAAACATGAGTATGGAAACTGTTCTTAGCAAAGCTCCAGAGGCACTCAAAGCTAAGAAGACTGGGATAAGAAATAAGATGGAAGAAATGCTTTTAGTGAAACCGTGTTTTAGTTAAACTATCTCTAGATTAGCTTTACTTCTCTGTACTACGGTACATCCATTGCACATACAGAGAAGAAAAGATGCTGATGGGGTGTGTTTGCTTATAAATAGCTCCTATGAATTCTATAAAATAATAATAGTAACCCCCCATCACTCAGAGAAGATGATGGCCATTGATATTGGTATAGGAATGTCCTGGCATGCATCATTACCAGCCCATAATTTATCGTTTAGAGGGCATCTCATGTCAGATGTCACGCCCTCCCCACAAACACACCCATGAAAGTGAATTTGGACAGTTGTGAACTTGACAGTGACCTGCCAAGCTTGCACGACTTACTGAGGAGCACTCGTCGAGAATTTAGGAGGTGAGCAAACAATAACAAAGAAAAAAGTGAAGATGAAAAACTCTAATAATTCAGAAAACAGAACATTAAACCTTCTCATGGGTACACTCAGAAATTCTTAAAAGATAATGAATGCATTTAAGAAAAATTAGATCTCAAATAGCAAAAGTTGGGAAATAAGACCTCTTGGAAATTCAAAAGGTTATTGCAGATTATTAAAAAAAAAAAAAAAGCAAAAGCTTTTTCTTTTCAGAGACAGAGTCTCACTTTATTGCCCTCGGTAGAGTGCTTTGGCATCACAGCTCACAGCAACCTCCAGCTCTTGGGCTTAGGCGATTCTCTTGCCTTGGCCTCCCGAGCAGCTGGGACTACAGAAGTCTGCCACAATGCCTGGTTATTTTTTGTTGCAGTTTGACCTCGGCTGGGTTTGAACCTGCCACCCTCAATATATGGGGCCAGTGCCCTACCCACTCAGCCACAGGCACCACCCCAAAAAGCAAAAGCTTTTA